GAGAGGTGGGAAGATGTGGGGAGGTGTGGGGCGAGGAGGATGTGGGGAGGTGTGGGGAGATGTGGGGAGGTGTGGGGAGGTGTGGGGAGGTGTGGGGAGATGTGGGGAGATGTGGGGAGAGGGAGATGTGGGGAGGTGTGGGGAGGTGTGGGGAGGTGTTGGGAGAGGTGGGGGGATGTGGGGAGGTGTGGGGAGAGGGAGGTGTGGGGAGGTGTGGGGAGATGTGGGGAGCAGACCAGTGTGTAGGTGAAGGCCCCTTGCGAGCGGGCGGCCAGGGCGGGCGGACAGGGCGGGCGGGCGGGAGGGTAGCAGGAGCAGCAGCATCAGCAGCAGCAGCAGCAGCAGCAGCAGCAGCAGCACAGGTTAGGCCAGCCGCGCAGAGGGCAGCGAGGCTGAGGTCAAAGAGCAGCAGGATGTTGAAGTCACAAAATTGGTCGATTTCGAAGTTGCTCGAGACGGCCCGGAAATTGCCCCGCGCCGAAGCCCCGGTGTCGGCGCACCGCATCTCGGCCGCGAGGACCCGGTTACGCCGCCCAAACGAGCAGTAGGAGCCACAGGGTTCGGACTTTTTGGTATGGTATGGTTCAACGCGACCCACCTCGAGACCATACCCCCCCGCCTGCTGACAGACCCAGCCTCCCTAGGCAGCAGGCGGTCAGGACCATACTCCCCCACCCTTTGGGCCGTGAGGGTACCATACCACATACCCCGCAAAAAGTTGGAACCCAGGAGTTGTGCCCTCCCTCCGGATTACTGTAATACGTTAGGGCGGGGGTCCGTGGTCGCCGCTTACCTCCAGATCATATGCTTGGCACCGTTGCTGGATGATACGAACGGCACGTCACGCGGTCCACACATTCACTCGCACCTCCACACCGCATCCTGGGATGTCTACTCGTGTTCGCGGTATAGCAGCGGCCTGCCTGCCTGGATGGACCTTCGGTTCGCGGTAACCCGGTGTTCTGCGTGAAGTTCGTGCTGAGTGCGCGAGAGATGCGTAGTCTCGCGCTCTGACACTGATGGATTCCGAGCCACGTGCCATCGTGGCGTGAGGGTCGCGCGGAGGTTGACCCCGGCCGAGCGAGCTCACCATGACGTACGCCCTCGACGACGGAGGAGCCCAAGCGCATCGAAAAGAGGCACCTACAGTACCGGTAGCCTCTGGCAAGACCGTGCCTCGAGAATCTGCCGATAACCGCGCAGACGGCCGGTTCGGGACACCTGGTCGGCAGCTCACCCGGATTTTCTTCGAGCTTAGCCTTCGATGTTATGAAACAAAGCAAGGCGGACATGGCATATCGCTCTCGGGCGGACAGGCGGATTTTTTCTCTTCTGAACCTCGCGCCTCGCGGGCCGAGAGCCGGTGCCGCTCTATCGCCGTATGCTCTTCTCCGCAGCGTGTGCCGCCTTCGTCGTCCCTTCCCTCGGCGGCGGCGCACGCCTGGCGGCACACGCCTCCCCGCCGCTCTCCGGCCAGCAGCCGGCGCCGGCCTTCGGCGAGCAGCCATCATCGCGTGATCGCGCTCACCCGCCTTGGGCCGTCGCGCCGCCACACCGCATGTCATCGCAGCGCAGCGGCCTGATCACGATGAAGGGCAAGAAGGGTGGCAAGCCGAAGGGCGATAACAAGTTCAAGGCGGGCGGAAAGAAGCAGCAGGGCCAGCAGGAGAAGAAGAGCGTCAAGGACAGCCGCATGGCGGAGCAGACAAAGAGCTTCATCTACACGATCCTCAAGCTCACAAAGGCGCTCCCCGACGGCTCGCGCACGCTCATCAAGAACATCAACCTCTGCTTCTTCCCCGGCGCAAAGATCGGCCTCGTCGGCTTGAATGGCGCCGGAAAGTCGACACTGATGAAGATTATGGCGGGCGTCGACACCGAGTACGACGGGGAGTGCACGCCGGCGCCGTGGGCGTCGGTGGGCTACCTGGCGCAGGAGCCCGAGCTCGACGGCGCCACTGTGCAGGAGTCGATCGACGCGGGCGTGGCGCAGGGGCGGGCGACGCTGCAGCAGTTTGAGCAGCTCAGCGCAAAGGCTCGCCGCAGCGCCGGCCCCCTCCTCACCCGTACGCGTAAGGGCCCCCCTCTCGCCTCGAGTGTCTGCGAGCTTGACGTCTTCTCATCTCGGCTAATCTCGGCCAATCTCGGCTCATCTTGACGTCTTCCTTTGCTCCAAGGTCTGCGAGCCGCTGAGCGACGAGGAAAT